ACTTTACAGGGCGATAAGTTCCAGCAATCTGTTTTACAAGTGCAGCAACTCCTTCCACTGCCCTTAGTTTACAACATTATTATTTTCCCATTTTGACCAACAATTCAAAATAAAAGAAAATCAAATCTTTTCAGGATCTTCATCAGTTTTGTGTCTCCATGGAGTAAAAATGGCTTCACGGGTGCAAAATAGTTTCAGCTGCCTTAAGTTTCAGTCAATGTTCTTTATTGTGCTTAAAAACTGTCTTTGTTAACCTCCAATATATGACAAAAATGGATGAAATTAAAATTTAATATTTTCAGAATGATGGGAGAGAATTTTGACATGTGGAACTAAATTGGATATCTCTTCCAAATGTGATGAGAGGAATATCACAAAGCATGGCTGTCTGAATGACCTCCTTTTGTGCTGTATGATTCTGAGTCCTCTGAACAAATTTATCTCTCATGAATTTGTAGCTCTTGCATTGGAAAAACCACTCTGCATAGATGCTTATTTCTTTGCTTCTTGAGCAGGGTATAATCCAATTAGTGCAGAGAGGTGTGAAGTGATGGATTTTAGAAGGAAGAATGAAGAGACCCAACATAATTAGATGGTACAATTAGAAAGGGAACATCAAGACCCACACAAGTCTTTAAAAGTAGCAGCACGAGTTTATATGAATGTTAAAGAGCATAGAGTTCCTTAACTTTACAGATAAAGGCAGAGGGTAAGGAGCATGCAAGTCAGTTTGATGGAATACATCATCTATAGAGTACCTAATTTAGAAATTTATTGAGTGAGGAAGCAGCTGCTCTTCTGCTTTTTTTTAAGATGAAGAGTGGTTCAAGAGATGAAACATAAGACTGCAGTAACTAAGATTTGTTGAACAAAAACCAAAAGAACTGTGGATACTGTAAATCAGGAACAAAAACAGAAGTTGCTGGAAAAGCTCAGCAGGTCTGGCAGCATCTGTGAAGAAAAAAATCAGAGTTAACGTCGAGAGTCTGGTGACCCTTCCACAGAACATCATGCCTTGTTGTCTTGGTGAACAGGTAGGTGGTTGATTGTTTTACAGCTTTTTGTCTCAACGGAAGCTGTAGCTTAAACTAGACCCAAAGATATATGTGCTATATTAAATTAATTACTCAATATAACTACAAATAATCATTGAATGATACTTTAAAACTTGCAACCCTAATTAGTTAAAACATATAATACATATGCCAGTGCAGGTAATGTATTGCAGCTGTAGCATGTAGGACAATGCAATGCAACAGTGAGAGAAAGTTATGTGGGCACATTGCTGCAGGAAGCAGCCACAGATAGATTAAGCATGAAAGGCTTTGTTCATGGTCAAGGACAAGGATGAGACTACAAGTAATGTAGGACTGGAGGTGCCTCATCCCTTGCACTTGTCCATCTTTTCCAACAAATACTCTCTCTTTTCTTATTTAGGTACCAGGGAACCTCTGTTAAGAACTGACTAACTTTGTAGGCTGTCAACTCCACCTGTACCTCTGAGCAGGAGGTAACTGATGCTTTAGAGAATGTACCAATAAGGCATTCACCTGCACCCTCTGTCAGCTCACATTCTTACTCCTCAGTGCATACTCTTTCTGGACTTGACTCAGGAGCACAATCTGGTCAGCATATTGTTCAAATATCTTTGCAGCTAGTTGAGGAAGAAACATCTCATGTCTTTGTAACTCAAAGGGGCACTGGTGAGCAGGCAGATTCTGTTTATCACTTAAAGACTTTTCGAAGTTTCTACAAGCCTCTCAGATTTCTAAACTCCAGAGAACGGAGGTAAGTCCCTTCAATCTCCCCTCACCATCTCAGGAATCAGTCTGGTTAAACTCTGTTGCACTCTTCCATGATAATACATCCTTCTTTAGACATGGGGATCAGAACTGCATGAAATTCACTGATGTTTTATACAATTGAAGCAGGACTTCTTTACCCTGTACATAAATCTTCTTACAAAAAAGGCCTGCACACCATTGCCTTCTAAATTGTTTAGTGCACCTGAATGCTAATTTTCTGTGACACCTAAGTACCAACAAAAACAGAAATTGTTGGAAAATCTCAGCAAGTCTGGCAGCATCTGTGGTAAGAAATCAGAGTTAATATTTTGGATCCAGTGACCCTTCTTCAGAACTGATGGTAGCTATGAAAAGGTTGGTTTTTATGCAGAAGATAGGGTGAGGGGAGGGAGTAAGGAGTAAATGATAGACAGAGATAGAACCCAAGGAGAGAGAAGAACAGCTAGTCAGACAAAGGAGTTGAAAACAGTCAGCCTGAGAGAATGAATAGATGCTAACGGGAACTATCAGTGGCTAACAATGGGTTGTGTGTAATGGCAGGCTATGTGATAACAAGGCCTGGAGTGTGGGGGCTGGGGTAAGGTCATGGCAGAAGGTGCCTCAAGCTCTAAAATTGTTGAATGCGATATTGAGTCCAGAGGCTGTTGAGTTCCCAAGCAGAAAATGAGGTGCTGTTCTTCCACTTTGCACTGAGCTTCGCTGGATCACTGCAGCAAGCCCAAGACAGAGATGTTGGCCAGAGAACAAGGTAGTATGTTGAAGTGGCAGGCAGTTGGAAGCTCAAGGTCTTTTTGTGGACAGAACACGGGTGTTCTGCAAAGCGGTCACCCTGTCTATGCTTCATTTCTCCAATGTAGAGACCTACAGAAGTTGCCAGACCTGTTGAGATTTCCCAGCAATTTCTGTTTTTGTTTCAGATTTCCAGCATCCAAGTTCTTTCGGTTTTTTTGTCTGGTGACATCTAGGTATATTTGGATATCGACACTTTCCAATTTCTTACCATTTAAGAAATATTCTGCATCTTTGTTCATCCCAGTAAAGTGGATAACCTCCCACTGGTTCACATTATATTCCAATTACCATGCTCTTGCCCACTCACTCCTGTCTAAAACCCCTAAAGACTCTTTGCATCCTCCTCACAACTCACATTACCACCAAGTATTGCATTATCTACAAACTTGGAAACATTACATTTGCCAGCAGATCCAAATCATTCTTGTAGATTGTGAACAGCTGGGGCCCAAGCACTGAACCTTGTGGTAGCCCACTTGCCACAGATTGACATATGCTGACTCTCTGATTTTTGCTTGTTAACCATCCTCAGTCTTATGTGCTTTAATTTTGTTTATTATTCTCCTGTATGGGACAATATCAAAAGCCTTATAAACATCCAGACCTGAACTATTAACTGTGATTTCTCTCCACAGATGCTGCCAGACCTGCTGAGCTTTTCCAGCAATTTCTGTTTTTGCCTTCTTCACTACTCTGTCTACCTGTGACTCCACCTTCAAGAAACTCTGTGATTCCACATTCAAGGAACTATGAACCTTCACCCCAAGGTCTCTTTCTTCAGCAACACACGCCAGAACCCTAGCATCAAACATATAAGTCCTGCCCTGATTTGCATTACCAAAATGCAATCCCTCTCATTTATTTAAATTAAACTACATCTGTCACAACTCGACCCATCTGATTAAGGTCCCATTGTATTCTGTGATAACCTTCTTCACTGTCCATTACATGGTAACAACCCAGAATGTTGATAGTGGGGAATTCAGTGAAGGTAGTGCCATTTAATGTCAAGAAGTGATGGTTAGATACTGTCTTGTTGGAGATATTCATTGCCTGGCATTTGTGTGGCATGATTGTTGATGAAACCATACCCTTTGTTTATGAAAATAGCTGTTTTTTTTTACTAAAGTGTTTAAAGGTCCCAAAGCCACTTTGACAGCTACTGAGAGAAGGTGAGAGTGAGGGAATGTAGTGCTATGTGAATAAGGGGGCAAAATTGAAAGGTTAGGGTTCCTGATCGGTGAGGGGATACAAATGGCAGGGTGCGAGGGTTCAATGGGTCAGGTGTTGGAATTAGGCATGAGTGTATCGTGGCAGTGGGGTGGAGGAGGTCAATTTGGGTGTTTGGAGATAACGAGACTGGTCATAGTCCATGGGTGGGCATCGTTGTGTATGAGGAGGGTGTGAGTTTGGTATCAATGTGGGGTCGGCTGGGTCGATTGGGGTGGTGGTCAGTGTGAGTGATCATTGTGGAACAATCATTGTGAGTGATTGAGCTGGAGCTCACTGGCACAGTTAGGCAGGAATAAGGTCAGGTTTTAATCTTCTAACATTTCCTGGCTAGTTGGTAAGGTAAGTTGGGACTCTCCAAAGTCTTCGACCATACGGAATGGGGACTACTTCAGAGGTTTTCCGTCGCCCGGTAATTGCCCATCGCAAGTTTAAAACTTTCCGGGCAATTACTGTGTCCTCAGTGTGGGCAGACTTTGACAGGTCCTGATGCGCTTCTTTTAAGGTACGTCCATTGTCCGACTGCCTGGATCCCGGAGGTCTGGGCCTAAATGTCGAAGAGTTACCCCCAGAAGAGGAGGATTTTTTTTCCTATTCTTTATAAGCCACGAGAAATGATTTGGAAGTGAAACCTACTGGAAGATGACATATATCATATATGATACTGGATCAGGAAGGGGTGGCAACATTTAACCAAACATCAATGGGACTTAGAGCAGCTGTGTACAACATTGTTTAGTTTGTTCCTTCAAAATGTTTCCTATATATTTAAATAAAAAAAAGTTTTTGCATAATATACAGGATTTAAGATACAAGACTAAAAGCACGATTAACTTGGGGACATTATAACCAAGAGTCTTGCTACAGTGTATTTCTGCAATTAAAATCTCTTCGGTTTAAAACTGTTGCTGTGTACATTTCACGGGGAACAGAATTAAGATTGGCAAGTACAGTGCAAAATAATGAAATCTAGACGATCTAAAATAACCTGATCAATCTTGCGCAGTTACTGGGGGATTTTAATTGTTTCCCTTGCTGTGATTCATGCTGCCAGTCTGCTACCGTTGCTCGGTCATTTACTGCAGCATGGGAAGCCCTTCCCTGCTGATACTGCTGACACTGTGTATGAACGCATTAGGGAGGAGGAGCTCTGCAGAAACATGAGGAGTAAGGGTGCCAGCAGTTCATTCTTTCCTTATGTTTGGGTTAATTTCGGCAAGGAAACCTTTTGAGCAGAGTTGGGGTGGGGTTGGGGGTCAAAGATTAGAGCTATTACTATTCTATGTGTATAAAAGACTTTGGGAGAGAGAAGGGAAGGACGAAAAAAGCTTGTTTTAGTAGTTTGGAGACAAGCTGCAATTCAGACAGATTGTAGTATTTTTTTCCAATGGCAGTGACGGCACAGTGAGCTAAAGATTCTGCTAGCCTAATGATTAATAGGTTTTAAAGACTGCAGATTTTGACTGGATTCACTACAATGTCTGAGAAGGAGTCTGTGACTGAAGGCCAGACTGCAGGTAGGAAAGATTTTACTATTGTGACGCTGCATTGGCCTGCAGTGATACTGCCAGGATCAACACAGTACTTGTTGTCTTTTTCATTCGCTGCTGGTTGTTTTTATCTGTAGGATCCTGACTGGATGTAATATCCTGTTAAGTCTCTCTAGCTTCACTGCAGAGCCCAGCCATTGTAATAGTCACATGGATGGGGGACTTGTGGGATTCAATGCAGCATAAAATTACAAGAAGCTGATTTGTTGCAGGTGAAAAAAGCTTGTAGCATAATCCGTTTCATTTGGCTTTTCCTCTCTTAGCCACTTACTGTGAGCGTTCAGTTCAATTCCACTGTTGGAGCAATCCGTTTTTGCCCCGATATATGTTTTAATCTCAATGATCGGATTTACGGCTTCTTTGCTTTTGAACAATCTCTACGTGCAGTTACAATTATAAATCATGCTGGTGAAGATTTCAAAATTACTGACCCTAATGCCGTATCATAGTGATTTCGATCAAGGTCACTTTGAAGTGAGTTCTCAGATAAAACTGACTAAAATGTAGGAAACAGCATGTCATAAGATTCAAATGATGGTTTCGATCTTTAAGTCGTAGACATTTTTATTTGGTATTAAATATTGTTTGTATCCTGAATGACGCAATTAAAGGGGCAGAGAGGTACAAAGTGGCTCAATGTCAAAAGGAATTTCATCACCAGTCATTTTAAAAAATGATTGGGAAGGTGGATATTTTAACTTTGTCTTCCCAGTTGCTGGGACCTAAAGCACCTTCACAGTCGTGATATCATTCTCAGTCATCTGTGTTAGCTTATGCCTAACTAAACAGCTCTCCGCAACATGGTCAGTCTCGAGCTACAATGTTCTTTCACATCAATGTCTAGACACCAGGCCTCTACCTTGGGGCCTCCCAAAAGAATGTCGATTCGAGGAGGAACAGTCCGTTTGACTTGGGATCTGTGTATAACCTAGAGATCACAAAATTTCAAATTATTAATGTAAAAAATATAAAATCATTGTCGATATTCAGAAGATAAAATAGAAGGCACTGAGCAAAAATATTTTAACTTTCATTTGCTTTACCGTTGAAACTTCAAATTAAGTTATTCATTAGAAAATTAATTATAGCAGTATGGTCGCTGAACATTAGTAGTCTGTTTGGACAAGTTTGCACCTTGTTTTATAGTATTAGGGTGCTCAAGTGTACTGATTTTTAATTGTATAATGACTGACTGATGTGATTTTTTTCATTATCTAAGTAGCTTTATGGACTTCCATCATAACAAAAATTGAAAATAAAATCAGCAGGTAATGCCTATTCTACTACTGTATGAGTGAAACCTCACACTGTCATAAGCATGAATATAATAATAGTGGTTCTGTAGGCATTTTGGACTCACTTGCTGTATACAATGAGAATTATTACAGAAAACTGAATAGAAACATTGTAAATTGAATAGGAGAATGTGTGAGATTCTAAAGATTTCTAGGTAAAAGTTTTACTGTACTTTTTTGTTGATATATTTTCACCCATATAAAAATCTATAAGATAGTGAGTGTCAACTGAGTGTAGAGTTATATGTTGGTGTGATACCCACACAGTTGATTAGCATGAGAATAGAAAATTTGGGCTGGAGTGGAAAGGGGTATAAAATCCTATTTTGGCTGGGCTGTAAAATGGATGGTAGCATATCAACCACCCTTTACACACCCTGATCAATTTTACTTTCCAATTAAGCCCATTTTCACTTCAAAATTTGAATGCTATCCCTTCATTATCCAAAATCAAACAAAGTACATAAGAAGTTGGAATTGAAGTAGGCAATTTAACCTCAGAGCCTGCTTTGCAATTCAGCAAGATCATGGCCATTCTTCCAGCTCATGAATGAAGTCTATGATTAGGGTGAGATATTAGGGGAACCTTGTGCATCTGGAAATACACCCTGCCAATAAGCCAGCAACTTCAAGTTTGAAAGGGAGAGAATTAAGGGCTTCAAAGTGTTCTTGCAGCAAGTATTGAAAATGTAAATTGTTTTAAAAATCCCATCAATGTACATCACATAAAAACAGAAGGTTTGTTGTTGAGTATCTCCAATCTATTAAATAAAAACGGAAAGAACTGAACATGCTGGAAATCAGAAACAAAAACAGAAATTGCTGGAAAAGCTCAGCAGGTCTGGTAGCATCTGTGGAGAGAAATCAGAGTTAACATTTCGGGTCTGGTTGCCCTTCCTCAGAACTGATGCTAACTAGGAAAAAGTTATTCTATGCAAAAGATAGGGTGGGGGAGAGAATAGGTGGAGATAGAATCCAAGCAGAGAGAAGAACAGTTGGACATATAAAGGAGTGGATAAACATTAGCCCAGGAGAATGAATGTCTACTAATGGGGACTCTATCTCCACCTATCGTTTTCTCCTTATCCCCGACCCCCCACCAACCCTACCTTCTGCATAAAAAAACATTTTCCTAGCTACCATCAGTCCTGAGGAAGGGTCACTGGGCCTGAAACATTAGCTCTGATTTCTCTGTGCAGGTGTTGCCAGACTTGCTGAGCTTTTCCAGCAATTCAGTCTTTCTCTCCCATCTATTGATGGAAAGCTGACTGGAACCAAGTGTCTTTTAACACTTATCAAATTGGTTACTGTACTACAAACTTCCAAAAGCAATTTGGGATAACTCTTTCTGTCTAGTAATTCTAGCTCCTATGTGCTTCCCCACATGATGTAATCAAGATTGGGCAAATTGAGCATTATGACACAGAGTTACCCCTATGATGTAGTTGGCTGCAATGTCTTCAATCTGACTTTATTCCATTTTTTATATCAACCTTTCTGATGGTAACTTACACTGAAATATCCCGAGAACTCATTGGAAATCAAGTGCAAATAATCAAGGCTCAAGGAAATCCCAGAACATAGTTTATGATTCCTGTGTTCCTTATTGATTTTTATGAAAATTAAAGTTGAAGCCATCAAACTATCACTTATGCACATTAAACACAGTATGATTTTAAAAAATGTGATTGTGGAAGATTTTATCTTAAAAACAAAAGATTCTAATGCTATAAAAGATTCAAAGATGCAGAGAATACAACACACATCCCAGAATAGAGAAAATTCAAAGTAATCACTGATTGCTATAATTGTATGAAGTTGTGTCCTGCTATGCCTAAAATTTTGAATGCAAGTCTACATTCATTTAGAAAAGTTACAAGTGCAGCACAAACTGATTTAAGTCACTCATGCATATTTTCTCAGAGAAAATAGAGCAAATTCACTCCTAAACTGAAATATTCTAAGACATTCTAAGTCAGTATTTTGCAATCCCAGAGTGTTCAGCTGTGGTTCAGCTTGGATGAAAACAATTTTAGATAATCACATACTTTGTCAGAGGATGACGTAGGTCATTTGTTAGCTCATGTAGCCTTCCGAGTGACTATGAAACTCTTACAATGTGTGACAGCATACTGAATAATAAAATTAAGCCAATAAAATACTTGGCTTTTAATGTTTGCACCTTTAGTAAAAGTCACCATAACCTTGCTATCTTATTAGTGAGGGGTAACTAGTGGTGATTTTAACCCGAAAGTCACTGCACCTCAAGCAAAGGAAGAGGATGAGAAGGAGAGTGCTCCATTATCATCTCAGCTGGTGGAGGAATTGAATTCATGCTGTGGCATCATTCCACGTTGTAAGGCAGCCATCCAGCCAACTGAACCAACCAATCCCTTCTATAGCTTGGGCTGAATATAACACTCATTTAAATGAAGATTAATGCTGAGCAAGATTTCCTCCAAGCTGCATGCCTGCTTTTTCTTACCCTACATTTACAAATCTACCAATGTTTCGACTTCAGTGAACATAATTTAGGTAGAGGAAAAATCAGAAAGATAGTTTCTTAAGCCATGTATGATTAGAATTGAAACAGGAACAGTTTTGATGCCCCTTCCAGATAAATATAGCGCTGGCACTCATTATATGACTCCTTACATGAAGAACAGCCAATTGGTTGAACTAGTGAGTTCTTGATGTCCATGAAACTGTACCATAGAATGTAGTCAGTACCTCAAAAGGGAAAGAACATCAGAGAATAAGTAACTTTGATGTTAAAAGCTTCTGATTTTTTTTTAAGTAAATCTACACTCAAACAGCTCCTCTGATACGGAGGTCACCTTCTACTGATGGTTAATGGGGGTCATCAGTCATGAACATCACTCTTCTGAGATCATTGTATTCCCCTGATGGAGCTAATACTGCAAGCTCAGCACAAACTCAAAGCACTTGAGCTGAACGTGTTGGGAATGGAAATATCAACTGATGCAGATCCACTGCAGAAAGAGCATTTTCTTGTCTACCAACTGGCAAAACAAAGGCCTATTAGTATTTTTAAAAATAACTCTGTGAGGCATATTGACTAACAGTATTATATTGAAATGCATTTATTTTTAGTTTTCAATAGCTTATCAGTAGAATTTTCTCCTACTTTCAAATGGGTCAATCTCTGAAAAGAATGTACAACCAAATACATTTGATTGCAAAAATTAATGGAAAGCAAACTGAAGTAGCTATACAAAACAATAACTTCTCTGAAGAAGTCAGTGTTCAGATTTGTTCAAATTATTGAAGTAGTGCATCTTGGTTTGCAGTACTTTGTCGTTAACAGCCTGTGTTTAAATGAGCAGAGTTATGGATCAAGCTTATCAAAATTTAACATTCCTATAAATTGTACATATTTGTAGCACCCATTCATTAAAGCAGTGATTCCTATCAATCCACGCTACATGTGTGGGACATACCAGAAATTCAGACATGCTGTTCAGGATTTTAAAGCCGGTAAAGTGTGAGCAGGGTGTGCCCAGCATTCAGACATAGTGGGCAAGGCAAAATGAATTAATGCAGTCATACTTTATATGAGGCAGTACTTCTTATTGCTGCTGTCATTGTTTGAACACTAAACGTGCATCAAATTCTCTTCTTTGCTATTTTCATTTAAAATTGTATAACATT